ATACCACCAAAACAGTATCAAAATACAACCACAAAGGAATGAAATATTGGTTTCAGTGCATGAAGGACTAATCACTTAGTTTTAACGGGTTCAAAACCTGATGACTGTAAGTTGCTGCAATCAGAAAACACCACACACTATATATAAATGTGGAAAAAAATGGAGTCATCTTTCTAGGAAAATAGACGGCAAACACTTTATTTGAAAGTCAAACACCGAGTACTTAGCAAAAAACATCAATGTTGTTTCGAACTTATGTCAGTGATATTGCATATTTCAGGGGTGATCATTAACACATAACACGAGTTTGTAAATGAGATGGTAACCAGGAAATGTAAAACCGGTGAAAATTAATGCAGCACAATATTTATGCAGATAACGGTTAGTAAATATGTTCGTGTAATAGCATTGTACAACGAGTTTTTCAGTCGCTTTAATCTGTCCAAAAACGGCTTCTCGTACAGACCGTAACCTTAGCAAAAAGGAGATATAGTCATAACTCCATAGTTGCGTGTTACATTTGCATTATTGTAAAAAGTGACAAAGCCAACAACAAAGAGTGGTTGACAACACCTGGCTGTAAACAACAAAGCAAATTAAGGTATGCTTAGTTAGTAGGTAGAACTCAAGCTGACAGACGATTCTAAAGTAATACTATCATCGAAGCAACTGTTGGATTAGGGTCTAGGTCGGCGTAAGTGCGCTTAACGTAGTCACTAGAATAATAAACCTGGATCTAAAACTATCAGCGTGGTATGATGTGACTATCTGGTCTATCAGACCTGGCATGCAAGCAGCGCCATTATCTATACCGATTCGTCCGATCATGACAGTCAAAGGTTACTACTAAGGACTTCTGATGAACACATGTAGGGTGGGATAGATTAATATAAATAATAATGTATACAAGCATGTGTTTACACAGAGTGAGTTCACTTACATTGGCGAGACAGCCCATGTCAACTAATTCTTTTCGCGTCCTCACTATATGCGATATTCTCCGAGTGAACAACGTTTAATGTAAAACTTCTCATTTGTTATATATTCGGCTTTAAAACTCGTGTTTTTGGCGACCAGTACCGCTACAAAAACTACAGGTAAACCACAGACACTAAACTCATTTTGTACTGAAATATAACAGTGAACAGGCCTTAGCGTATAATAAAGTATTTCATCCAGGGCAGGCACACTCCAATTTTAAATACGTGATCTGCAATTTACAACACTGGTTTGCATATAAGATGCTTTCTCAGTAGGGTTGTTAAATAGATGAAATCAATAGAAATATAAGGCTGTATTTTTGTGCAGATGTATCAGAGAGGCTGCAAAGCAGGATAAATGTTCTTTGATTCCTAAGGCTTAACAGAAATAGGAAGTATTTAAATGCCCAGATAATTTTACCACTGTGGCTCGTAATTTATTAGTCATTTGTCTTATCATTGTCATGAAATATCAACCCTTTAATAGTCGTTCAAGAGCTTGAATTCACAAAAAAAGCTCGGCTTTGTATAACAATGAAATCAAAATGAGTTTGGAAACATGGTTTCAAGAAGTAAAAGACGTGGCAAAAGATCACGATAATACTGGATGGTTTCCACGTCACCGGTCACAGCGAGTCCGAAACAAAAAAATGTTCTTTCCCACAAACACTTGTGGATCGAAGTAATCGAACTCGTCATCAGTTTTTGACGGTTAGTAATCTCACCCTTCCCCCATCGTTATGTTCAAATATTTTATAATGATAGCCAGACTGTAATTAGGCTTAACTCCAGGCTTTATGTTCCACACTCTCCTAAAAAAACATTATTTTCACAAATATAATGTATAAGCATATCAGACAGCTAAGCTCGTGGACCTTTTGTAGTACGTCAAAACTGTATTGAATAATAACTCAGGACAAAGTGTGGGTTTCAAGACTAAGTTTATGAGAATGTACTAGTAGGTGGACACTTTTAAAACACCAACAAGCAATTGAAAATAAATTATCTTACAGTAAAATATGTGGTGAAAAGAGAAAACTGTGAGAACTAAATATTAAAAGACTCAACTTATTTTCATTGTAGGCTGTTGCTGAGTGCTTCAGATATTCTACCGGAGTAATTTCTAAGTGTCTTGCTTTTTATCGGGTCATGATGAGAGTGGTTTCAATGCTTAATGTGTACCATACCACCATCGGTTTTGAGGGATTCTATGAGGTCCAAGCTTATATTTTTCTGACTGCATGTATTTGTTCACGTGTTGTTAAAACGAGTTTTCTCCCTCGCATTTTCCTCTCTGCTTTGCTTTCCTGCCTCTTATTTTCAATGCTTGTCTGAATAAATGAGTGCTTAGAAAAATTCATCCAACGCAACCCGTACATGGATTCTTATTGCCACTGTCACCCTCGCGAGGTTAGTCTAGGTAATACACGGACTTAAATGAAAGATTTATGTATATATCATCTTCGTCCGAGCAGAGTTGTATCACGGCACCACAAACGTGGTGGGCCCGTCGACAACCTCATTGATAATCTCATCAGACAACTACACGTTGAAGTCGTGCATCACGATTAGTACCTAACTTGGATTGCTTTCTCGTCGTATCTAGATACTATGACTACTTTTATGAGGGTACAACACAAACGGAGTTATTGCAGAAATACATTAGTAAGAGCAGGTAAAATTGACAAAAAGGGAACACCACGGCACGTCCAATGCATGTCGTGCAGTTAGCTGATACTTGTTTTTTATCCTTGACATTGATGAGGATCAGTGTACTGTTCGAAATTCAATGGCCCAAACATCGGATGATTCGCCCTGAGCCCAAATGGTCCAATTGGTTCAAATTGCCCAGTAACACTTCACTTTAATATCAGGTTGCGTGGTAAGTACTCCTTCCGACTTTCCGTACACTAGACTTTGTATCGGCATGGAAAGCTTCAGAATGCAGGTTGTCCCTTCTGTATTTAGGCCCTGTGATTCTTCGAAAAACATTGCCACAACGTTTGTATGTTAATTTCCGGCGTTTAGCACAATTTTTATACAATTCACTTGACATTGACGTGGCTGAGATGCAGGCTGGCAATAGCCATGTTCAATATCTGAAATTCCGGTTGTTTGACAAATTCGTCTCGCCAATTGCCAAGTAAGTTTCATTACTATTTAGATGTTCACGAATTAGTTCGTCGCATTTAGAGACATTACCGTCAACATCGGAATCTAAGCATGTCCGTGTTGCTATAGCGGACCAGTAAGTCACCTAAATCATCAAGTGAACTTTTTCAGCTTCGACAGGTTGCATACAGTGGTGCAGAACATTTCGTCAACTATGACTGACTTTAGTAAAATGCTGCAGAAAATGTCCACAGCCATTACTGATTTACGTATTAATGTCAAGCAATTACTACTTAAGTCCAATGAACGAGAACAACCGCATCAATTCGATTGAGGAATCTCGAGTCAGCGGTTCCCTTTGTCATCTGAAGAGGAATTTCAGATTCTGGACACTGGTTTGCAGCATAAAGAAACCAGGGACAGATTTGTAAGTCAACATTAATTTAATAATTTGTTCCTGTTACAGATGGCAATGGTTACAAGGTTATCAAGTGACGATCCCAAAACATCAATGAGGTATGTTCTGTTGCACCTTTTGACACCTGAGGTTGCCAGTAAGTTCCCGTTACTTGGCACCTCTTCAAAACGAGCACTTCAGAAATGCCGGTTTTACGGCTGCATACGGAGTAACTCATATTTATTATTTAGACTTCAGGTGCATTAACAAATCGCTTTTTAGCATCTTCTGTCAACGAAAAAGACCTTGAGAAGCTCTGCGACACAAGGTTATTTTCACGACGTCAGAGACAAAGTGATAAAGCGTTAAAGAAGGAAAGAAGGGCAGGTATGTACTAATTGGAAGTGATAACTTTCCTTACGGCTCTATAGTTACAGTCATCAGTGTTAACGGATATAACCGTAAGTTTAGCCCAAAGCATTTGGCTGTGCCAAGACATGTCATTGAGATGTCGTTGTGACTTCCTTCGTTTTTTAAGCTTCAGAATTCACGGAACGACTATTTCCGTTCTCAATAGCCGAACGAACGTGGCTAAAGGCAAAAGTTCGTACAATCCTTTTTATGTTCTACTTAATTTTTAATAAACATTTTTTGGTAAAACAGCTTACTTTTTTACTTACATGGAAAGCTATTGAAGCGTTGAGAGAGTGTGTTTGATTGTTAGTGAACTAGCGATTAAATACACATGCCTTGTAAATAAAACATAACCTGTTCCTTCTTTTGCAGATATTTTCAAATAACAATGAATTGGCAATTGCAGTGGATATGCAAAACGGTTGATGCTAAAGCTTCTGCTATAATTTTGTACAATGATAAGATTTTCCTTCACAACAAAATTATTTAAAAATATACCAGTTTTCTCGTGGCTTGCAGTTTTAGTGTGGTTTGTTTTTGGAATAAAGGCAGATATAGAAGACATTTAGGATTATACCAATGGATCAGAAATAGGCAGTTATGCGTGTATTTCTGCGAAAGGTAAAAAATTAGGCGTTTATGTAGGCAAAAAGTAGATAATTCGGCGGATATTTAGGCGAAAAGTAGTCCAATCGGCTGAAATTTAGGCAAAACGTAGACAATTCAGCGGATATCTAGGCGAAAATTCGACAATTCGGCGGAATTTTAGGCAAACATTCGACTATTCGGCGGAAGGAATGATGTTATTCTATTGTTATTGCAAAATTAGCTATCTTTGCTTGTCGCTATAGCTAGAACAAAAAAATAAAGAGTTTTCAATAACGTTTATAAATATTACTTGGAGTAGTATCAGACACAATGTGATTTGTTTTTCTGTACTACTTCTCGATACACTATGAACTGCCGCGGATTGTGTCTTCTCAATATCAGTTTCTAAGGTTGGATCGGGATCTAATCTCGATTTTCAGATTGACGTACTCTGAGCCTTGCATCTTTAGGCCAGACATAAACCTACAAAAAGCTAAACTGTACCCTTCATGGGTATCAAGGGTCTTCTTCCATTCTTAAAAAATGCATCAGTCCCTATTAATCTAGCCGACTTTAGTGGTTATGTTGCTGCTGTGGATGTTTACTGTTGGATCCATAGATCTTCATATGCATGCGCTTCCGATCTAGCACTTGGGATTCCAACTGACCAGTAAGTATCATATTTAGCTACGATGCCACTTCAGATACGTCCGGTATGTTGTTAAGTACATCAACCTCATGAAGTCATGCAATGTTAAACCAATCCTTGTATTTGACGGCTTAGATTTGCCATCCAAGGCCGAAACGGATTCAAAACGTCGAGAGTAACATCATTTACTGTGCTTAGTGTTTTAGGACCAAAGAGTTGAATCGAAAAAAAGCTGCAGAATATCTTATGAAGGGAGATAAGGCAGCTGCGCAAGAGTGCTTTGAAAGGTCGGTGTTCGTCACTTCCGAAATGGCATACGAGGTTCTTCGAGTGAGTATTATTAGTGTTTCCTTTGTGCTATTTAAATCATTTAACTACACATCTGATTACTATGGGCAAACTTAGATTCTGTATGAGATTTGAAGTTAAAAAGCGGGTTTACGTGGTTAGTAATTGGATTGTTTATTGGAGATGATTACTGTTACGACTTACTGATATATATAGCTGTTTTAAGTTTTGGATATAAAACAGACGATTGGAATCGTACTATTTATACGTACTTTGAAAGAAAAATTTGTGGCTTATAGTAGTTTCTAACTCTAAGGGTAATTATGACTAAGAATCATCGCTTTATGCTTAAAATATTTCACGTTTTAGTAATAAATCTAGTAGATTGGTTAAACTAGGTTAATCCTCAAAAATCTCTGTAAAGGTTCAGTTCCTTAAAATTGTTGATCGATGTTACGGATGTTGCCTACTCATGTGGGAGGTTCCAGTCGTTGCCCACTTTGCAAGAATAATGAGACTTCTCTTTAAGCTTGTTCGATTGTGTTTTTGAAACTTTTTTGTGCTTAACTCTTGATTAGTTCTATGTGGAACTATAAGAAAAGATCTATCAGCGGGCTGATCATTATTTAGATATTGATACAAGATTGCTGCGCGTTCTCAGTTAATAACTCATATCCAGCGTAAAACGTGGCACACGAGTGTGTTGGTTCAAGTCCCCATACCGTACCAGGAAAGCGAGGTGAAGTTATATCAGACACATGGCAGTGGTAAAGGGAGTAACAGTATCATTAGTGGTAGAAAAGAGTAGGTTCAGAAAAAGAAAAGTATGGAGAGATTTCAAAGCTTTAAATTGGACAAAAAATGGATGTACATCGGGCATAGCGAGCGATTCCTAGTCATTCTACTCAAAGTCTACTAATTAACTACAACAATCAAGCAGACTTCAACCAGATAGCCTTTATCTATTAACCTGTTTCACTCCGGTTGTTGATTTAATCGACTGTTCCTACGTCTTGTTTTGCCAGGCTCTCGCTTTCGACGTAGTCCTATACCAAGTACGCGGTGGTTGGGCATACGTAACATCTGTTCTAACCAACTCATTTGATGAAGACTCACCACTTCATCGATCGATTTGGCATATTTATCTAGTGCCTTATGCCTAAAATTAGCGTTGCTCACTCGGGGCACCCTGAAAGCAAACGATGCTTCGAAGATACGTATGATCGAATAATGGTAACCTACAAATATACTGTATTCTTAATGGCTACGTTTCATACTCGTAAAGTGGAAAGGGGCGAAGTGCTACGCAGTAAATTCGTGTTTTGATTGTCAAAGGTATATCTCTCCTGCATCACAAGCAAAGGAAATTGACAAACACCAACCAAACCTTCTGAATTCGTTCCAATATTTTGTCTAGCACCAACCTATCCAGACTGATATGAGTCCCAAAATAAGTGAAGTAATCGACGCACTCAATTCAGGCGCTGACGCAGACCTATCATGAAGCAAAATTTCCTATTTAAATCTATATCATCGTACCCCATGCATGGTTGCAGTATTGCTTAAAGTTGGTAAAAAACTGCGTTTTGTCAGCGTTTCCACCAAACCGAAGTGTATCGTCTGCGTAATCTAAATCAACAATTGAACACCCTGGGAACAGGCCAACCTCTAAAATGTGAGGCATTAAGACGTCTATGACAATGTGAAATAAGAATGCAGAAAACGGACAACTGTGAGGAAATCCAATTGGCGGTAATAATTCTGGTAACAGTTGTCTGTAAGCCCTAACTTGACCATTAGTGTCTGAAAAAGACTGTACAAGTTCAACGTAAGTCTTTAAATTATAGACACTACCACATAACCTCTCAATCAATAGGGTCGAATGCTGCCTTGAAGTCAAGGAGTACAGCCATAGTTTGATGTCAAAAAGTTGATCTAAGTCAAGATCGGTAGTTTCGTATAATCTTCAGTTTTACCGACCCATATAATAGTACTTTCGAAAATTTAGGGTTTTGAATTCGAAATTATCAAAATATCTTATTAACTATGTCAGTATTTAGTAATAATGCGTAATTTTCGTCTTAATTATTGCACATTTATTTGACTTGAAGGTTGTTTTAGCCTCAGTTAACTGTGTTTAAATTGTTAACTAACACTTTTTTGCACCACTATAATGACCCACGTGGTTATCCTCACATGTTATTTTTAGTGATATATTTAATAGTCGTATTTGCTTACAACATAACTTGATTATTCACTGGTTAGATTTTCGATTTTATTCTCACTTATCTTATAAGGCTGCTCGTAACATGGGTGTTGATTGTGTTATCGCACCATATGAAGCAGATGCTCAACTAGCGTATCTTAACCGAACGGGTTATGCCGACTTTGTCATCACTGAAGATTCTGATTTATTATTATTTGGATGTAGACAGGTAAGTGCTTTCAAATGCACACTTGATATTAAAAACTATCAATAAACCATCAAGTTATCAAGCAACCACCCCTAAGTTTCTTTAAATAATAAATTGAATGGATATTCAGCAAAAACATATTTTGGATCTCATTATTTTAACATTACAATAACTCCCTAAATTGGCAAATAACATACCATAAGCTACTAGGTGCTTTTCAATCTTAGTTGGATTGTACCTCAGCAACAGCATTTACGTCATTTTAAAAGCAAGCAGTCTTCTGAGTGCGGTTGTTACTAAAAGGGAGAAAATTCAGTGCTTAACGATTGGTTGTTGAAGAGTTCTCTTTCTATCAGTTGCCACTTTTAGGCTTATGGCAAACTATCTGCGGTGAAGTCTGATTTCTCGTTGGTTCAAACATAATCGTCAATTATATTGACTACGTCACTTGTCTGTTGTGTCACATCAAACATTGTAGATTATTGTATGATAAAAGTTTGTCATCCAAACAAGTGTTATAAAATCGTGAAATAGTTTACTCACAAGTGTAACAAATTCCTCTCAGAAGTTCCATATATTCTTGTGAGGGGTATAAAACACGACTATTTGAGACGAAATATTTAAATAGCATCTAATCTACCATAATTTTCCACAAAGGTTTTTTTTTCATTCAATGGAACCACTGGTGCTAAGGAAATTTTAAATAACTAATAAAAGATTAGTTGTCTAGGTTGTGGATTTGCACCGACTGAAGAGGCTGGGACATATTTCTTTCAGGATAATTGGAACGGTTAGCACAATATCCCGTTTTTATCCATAGTTCCTTTATTTCCATTTGAAATATCTAATAAGTTTAATTTCTCTGCTGCCTATATTATTCCTAAAAATTGTTTAAAGGTTGTATTCAAACTTGATTTATCGGGATCAGGGGTTCTTGTAGCAGCCGCATCTGGTATATGTGAATGCTGTGGAATTCCTGCTAGTCAATTCACCGAATCAAAATTTAGGTTTATGGGCATTATGGCTGGCTGTGACTATTTTAGTGGAATTCCTGGCATAGGATTAAACACTGCTGCTAAAGTAAGTAGTTTCCTAAACGATATTTTATAAACTGAGAGAAACTTAAGGATCTGCTATGATGTTCACAAGTATCGAGTTATTTTTGTTAGTTTTCCATTCTTGTTTACATCATTATTAACATTTTTGATTTCGCTACTCTTGTAATTCCCTTTCTGACTGGCATTCATGTTGTCTGGTTAACTATATTTAATGAATTTAATGTTTTTTATGAGTTGTATCACCTATCCACCAGTGTTTAATTCTTAAGATCAAAAAGTTATTTTCCGCGAAACATCCACATCACTATGAATTTGTTTCAGAGCTGTTTTCAGGAAAAATTAAAGAGTAACGGTAGGATTGAACAAGGTATTTGTATACCATCACCCTCCCTAAGGTGTTTTTTTACAAGTCTTCAATATTTTTAGGAACTTCCCAGACTCATCCTTCAACAGGTAATCTCATAGCACCATCGATAACGGCCGTGATTTAAAGAAACATAGCAGTTGTTGGCTTGCAATCAGTGTGAGATTGCCGCCACTGTTATGATTTTCTCTTATTACGACTCAGCTATTCCTATTGCTTAGTATTCTTGGACACCAATTCACTCGACAAGTCCCTAGATCAGAACAGAGTTGAACAGGAAATAAATTATATTCCAAATAACAATGGTAGAAAGAAATAAGAAGCACAACAAGAAAAACGTTAATATATTTATAGCTTTTACAAAAGATTTTAGAGTCTTTTCCCAGTATCGACTAGCTCGGATTAGATAAGAAGTAGTCATTCACCGTTCAGCAACACAATCGTGCTCGAAACATGCTTTAATCGCATTTATGTTCCACTAACGCGCAACACTTGGCGCAGTGTAAATATGTGATCAATACATTCACAATGTAAATGAAAACGAGCCTGGTCATTGCGAGTCAGTCCCTCATCGGCCCTGAACAATGTTCAGAGTCTGACCGAAGCTAATAGCTTATGTGCTATCGGAAGTAGAATTATCCTCCGATAGATTACATAGAACCTTTTTCGAAAGCAGGGACGATGGTCTTCCCATTTCAAGATTCTGTAGTACTCTTTTTGCAAACCTTTTCACACAACTCAGTTCCCTCGTAAGAAGTTCAATGCCATTTTCAAAAAGAGCTGGTGGTAGTTTACCTGAACCTAGTGATCTATTGCGTTTCAGAAGTTGAAGTTCCCGACGAACGTAGGCTTTATTAGGTGAATATTTAGTCACCGATAAGGAAGTACAGGACAACATAGTCAATGTTGTTAGGGCAACAGAATGTTTAGATTTTCCCTCGAAGAATTATGCCCTTCTCTCGAGATGCCTTTGAATGTCATTAATTGGCGTTCCATCAGTTGTTTCGATGGCGGCGAATTTCCTGTCGTCAGTGGCTTGGATGAGCTGGAAAAGCTTCTAGCGGCAACCAGATACAGCTTATGCTTCCAATTCGTTAGTGTCTTTTGATCATCAGGTTTCCTTGTCTTGATGCGAAAGTTTGTATCGTAATCGTAACTCATTATACGGGAGTTTAAGCTGAGCGCTCACATTTTCGGCTACATCATTCGGGTTTAAAAAATATTTTTGACATTGATTAATCATACGCTTGTTGGGATGGATTAATATGTTATACTTTGTCAAACCAAGCACTTTTAAACTTGGGATTTTTCTAGAAGGAGTTTGTGTCGGCGTTATTTGAGTTTTATTTTTAAGGTTTTGTGTTCTCCGTTGTTGATGTAAATGATTGTAACTAATCAATCTCTGCTGGCATATGTGCCTTGTGAGCGAATTGCTTCGATATTGTCATTTAGTCAAAATTTTTAACAAAGTTATGTAGTAGCTAGTTGAGGAGTCTAGGACGCGCGTTTCATCCTATTTGTACTATCAGAAATACTTTTAGGAAATTCATCAGTACGTCTGTTATTTATTCTCTGAAGATGTGGCTTACACTAAGTAATGAAACGTCGGAAAACCTCGTTTTTGTACCTATGAGGATATTACAAATATATTGTTTATTGTTTATCTATCTGTTTAAAACGTAGACAAATAATTAATACTTAATCATACAAAGTTTTGAATTTTTGGATTTTGTAGATATTACGTCAGACCCGCATAACAAATTTCAGAGAACTGTTGTCGAAATTGGGGTTTTATACCAAACTTAGTAATAATGCTCTTGCGAAGGATGATACAGAAGTTGTGAATACTAAAAATACTCGTGACAAACGACAGAACGTTAAAACAGCTAATTACAACAAAAGTTCCCAAATAAGTGAATCACTTCTTAATGCTGCTGTACGTGCAGAGCGAACGTTTCGACTTCAAGTCATCTTTGATATCGCATCTAGATGTCAGAAGCGGTTCAGTGAACCTACTCCTGAGGATATAGATGAGGAATTACATAATTTAGATGAGTTGAAAGGATCAAATGAGGACGAAGTTGACCTCTTTAGTTATGCAGGACGGTATGTTGAAATAGTTTCATATTCATTTTTAGCAACTAGTGATTTTTTTGAATTTCTCAGTCATTTAATGGCGATCCATGAATTAACTTGTTCTCATCAGTTTGTTCTTATTAATTTATTAGGAAGTTAAAAAATTCAGTATATTCTGTAGAGGTTCTACCTAAAGGTAAGGGAGTACACTTGATAAGTTTGTATTGAAAGATGTAGAGATAAAGAATCAAATCTAAAATGTGCAACAAACCTGCCTATGACATCAATTATCTGAAAATTAGCATCTATATAATGCTTATAGTAAAGTAATATCTTGCTTATCATGTACAAACTATTTTCATCGGTGTTATTTAAAATATTTCAGTTTCTGTATAAATTATAGAATTATTCACTAAAAATATCCTGAAACGATTCCAACATAAAATCTGTATTTGGTCCTATAAGAGTAAGGAATTAGTATTTTGAAAATTAAAGGGCTATATCCGGATTGTATCACAAGTATTTGCAATATTTAGTAAGGGTAATGTTCGGTATATAGCATCATTCTGTAACAATTAATTTTCTCCTCTTCGGTAATATTGCTTCATAAACATACATCCACTTTATTTCAGGAAATGTTCCTTTTCCCCTTTTACAATTGTCGTTTGTATTTATTTCGGTCAAGTACGAAAAGAATAAATAGTTTACATAGTTTCGTATGGGTAGAGTATGTTACTTAATGTAGATAAATCGTAGTTATGCTAGATATATTTGTCGTTCAAGCAGTTGATCATAAATGACTTAGGAAATGGGGCAAATGTACGTAGGTTTAGCTGTCACACCTCACAATAGGGCAGAAAAAGGGGGTCCATTAATCGATGAAACAGAATTATAGATAGTAATACTAAAAATAGAAAATAAAATAAAATCAATGAATATGAGGCATTGAATATCACGATATTCAAAACCTAGAAATTATAGAGTTAATGTTGCTGCCACAGATTTGGAGCTTTATCGTTCAAGCTCCCTATCAGTTATTATAATTATTTCACCAACTCCAACCTAAAAGGATGCTACTGTGTACATGGCTTTGACTAAAAGTCAGTAGCTCTATGAGTTAAATTCATATCGTTTTCTCTTTATCTTTAGTTTTTTTACCAACACGTTTAGTTGTTTGTAGCTAGGGATAAGCCCCGTAGATCCTCCTCACTTCCTTTACTTGAAGTTCTCCATCTAACCAATTGATTTCCGACCCTACACAACATCAACGGTGGTTCTAAAGTACCTGTAATCGAGTACTAGCTATTCGTACACCTTTATTTTTACGTGTAATATTCAGAAGCCTACTGATATACGATAGCCAATCGGATATTTCACGCTATAATCAACTGAATTTGTACATATTTTTATGTGTTGAGACTTTACTTACTTAATTACGCCTGTTACTCCCAATGGAGCATACACTTTATCCTCCACTAATTCACTAATGTCATTAAAACTCAAGGTAAATGGATTGATACGTTCGTTAATTACTACATATATAATACCTGTAAAATAAGTAGTTACTCAAACCATTTACTGATGTGAGACTTAAAATTTTGGTGGTTGTGATATTTAGTTTCGAACTAATCTGATTTTTCTGATCAAGTTCTACTGTATCTAGAACTACAATTTCTACTGGGTTTCCAGTTTTGTCTACGGTAATGGCTATTTACGAACTATTGAGCTTGTTCTAACACGAATGTGTCCAAGGGTGAACTCGATAGAGTGGAAACTCGTCTCAACGTTGATAATTCACACACGGCGATAAAAAAGGGACGTTCAGGATAGTTTCGTATTCGCAACCAAGTCAAATTGAAATGAAACAACTGTGTTTATATAGTAACAGTCGATGACATTGAGACACGACAAAGCTAACTAACCAAGTATAAAATCAGCCGATCAGATAGTATCAAACGTCATTACAAAAATTCGAATTAGGAAAATTTTGTTGAGGTTAATTTTTTATGAAAGAACTAACATGTGATGACAAATTATTAGACAACCTGATTCTCCTTACCAGGTTCTCACGTTTAACTTACTGGTGAACTATTAACACTTTTTATTTAAGGGTTTTAAAAGACAATGAGAAAGCGTTCAATCGAGCTCTTGGAAATATCAGCTATTCTGATGATACCATTATAGATAATTACTACCCTTGTACATCAAAAGTAAGTCATTGTGTCTTACTTTACGTTACGAAAATTTTCTCATTATTTTTGCTAGTGTACCTTGATTTGAGGAAAACTGCATAAGTGAATAATTTGAGTGATTAAAAATTGTTATGTTAGTGTGATGAATTAAGTTTGTGGCAAAAATATGTTGTAGCAAATCGGAATCAGATCTAAAATTTAATTTATACTGTTTACGACAAAATTGCAAAACACTATCCTATCTCATTTTGAGAAGCAGTCAAAATGTATGTTGAACGTGTGACTTGAGGAATTTATTCAAATTTTATGAGCAAACCTTGCCCAGTACATAGTTCTTTCCACTCATACATTTCAAGACTTTCGTGCGAGAAAATCAATAAACAGTTTTTACTTGCTTGATATACTGGAGGAAATTCAATCAATAGTGTTTCGGAAACTGAGTTTGCGTAACCGATTTAGTCCTAATAATTATTTATAGAATGTAATTTATGGTGTTTAGTATGAGGTGTCTCCGTGCAGATGCTCGACCTAATCAAGTTTCTTAGGTCAGTTTGATGTTTTTTTTCAATCCATTTTTAACATTCGCTCTCATCATTTTTTTGTGGAACACTTAATTTCTTATACTTAGAATAATTCAATGCAAGTAAATGGAGCCATCATCGGACATTCAACTATTCAAACAAAAGTACAATCATCAGGATTACGACCTAATCCCGATCGTTTGAAAATAAGCATATGGGATAAAAGTTATCCTATTCAGAAATGTACGTGATTTATTTTTATTGATTTTACTTTTTCTGTTGTGTACAGAAATAGAGTTGCTTTTTTAACAATTAGTCACAATCTCGATCAAATTGACTAAAACGATGTTTGTCTTCAGTTGTTGTATTGTAAGTAGATTTGAAAACAAAGTAATTAGTATGTTATGTGAACATTATACATTTATAGTAGATGTCACTCTATAAATCTTACCACATAACAACAACATTTTATCGTTGATATACAAATGCAAATTGAAGACATAAGTATCAAAGCTATCTATAAATTTTAGTGTAAAAGATACCACACTTATGTTGCATGCGTGATTAAGCAATAAGTATTACTAATTACCTTAATCTTGTGTTGAATCATTATTAGGGATAAACTAGAACACTCATGTTGGCTTAAAACATACTATTTCTTCATGTACTACTATCTTAACTACTACATACCTTGATGCTGAATATATAAAAAAGCTGATGGATTTTCATTTTGGTGACCGATTTCATTATGGTATGTTCTACTTGATTCTTATAGATACTTGTGTTCAAACGTGAGTTACGGATATATATATGAGCATGAATCTTAAATGATAAAACATCGCAGCGCTGTATTTCAAATGGTGCCTTTTCTGTAGGTTTATGTTAGACTGAATAACTGAATTAAGACCAAACTAACACTGCTACCCCATTTAATAAATCTAACAGCATAAAATACTGAATTTTTAATAATAGCAGCCAAAAGATAAGTGTTATAGTGAACCAAATCTCTAGTCAAATTAAGATGAAGAAAAATAAACCATGAGATGTAGAGTCAAGTCTTTCATGTAAGTAATTTAAACCCATTTCATAATTGTGTTTTAAAAATCATAGATTGTAGGTAGCTGACGAGAACCAAACGACATAAAGTGAATTCATGTTAATCTGCCAGAATTCTTGTCGCTGTTTTCAAAATGATAAAGAGTACTATGAAATGTAGAGTCAACAAGATAGTCTTTGTAGACGTAGACGTTTGTGAGAATTACCTACTCGTTCCTACATAACTGGACAATTAGTGATTGTTCTTCAATGAACTAGAATACAGGTGAGGACGACCAACTGTATTTTAGTAAATTATGAGAGCCATACATTGAATACTTCATTTGCGAATTTCCATTTGTTTTTCACATCCTGCAAGGCTATTCCGACCTACAATTCCTTTCCGTTTCCGTTTGCTGAAAACCAACCTTCATAGCCTTATGGTGCCAGGTTTTCCACTTCAAATCGGTGTTACATACTACTTATGTCGACAGACATAAGTAGCATAAACAATAGTCCTACCTTTCACTTGAATAATGTTTGTATTTTGAATAATTTAAGTCTATGGTACATTCAGATTAAAAATGCACATACCATACTAATTTAGTCATTTTGAAATTATTTTTTACTCATGTCTCGTTTTTTGTACAATTTATGTAGTTTGGCTTCGTCGTTCTCAGAATGGTTGCATTGAACCGGTTTCAGATTTTTCGTCAATTGATTCAGACTTTTCTTCTACAGGGAAAGAAAATAAAGACCCGGTTGAGAAATCACCTATAAAGAAATTGGAATTGAAGAAGACACAGTCAACTTGTGGACGTCGAATACTGGTTCCTGCAGCTATTCAACAAAGTCTTAAAAACCTAAGAAACAGTATGTCTGTTCCACAAATCGAACATCAGGATTCACCCAAACGCCCATGTCTTGGACTCAATAACTCTACAGTAGATGACACTTCCGGTTCGTTTTTTGTTCACTATATCAAAGTGTTCTCGTTGTTGTTAATTTAATTTAATAGATATCTTTTTCTAATACATATATTTTTTAATAGATGTTTTGCAAGTTTACGGTCAATCGGAAGAATTTCCAGTTACACCTAAACTGAAAGACCGAAATCATCTTTCATCTACCATTGTTTCTGCTTCTGGTTACTTTCCAATTCAAGAGAAAATTGATGTTCCAAAAGCTATAGATGATGTCATCAATAATTCACTGAATGATGATAATGATGATCTTGGTCGTTCTCAAACTTCCCGTAGTCCAGTATTTTACAAGGCTAATTCAAATCCGTTTCGAATAGCCTCCGAATCATATTTATGCAAATCAAAAGAGAAAGTTGATAATAATTTTGATATTTCTGTAATGTTAAATGATGAACGTAAAGACTGTTCTTCCATTGTTTTCAGCAGTAATATGCAGTCTGGCTGTCGACGCTCATTAGAGTAAGTTCAATAAACGTTTTGATTAGTAAAAAATATTTTGCGTACTTATTATTCAGAATAAATAATTTTCTATAAATCACCTTGTTCTTTCTCTTAAAGTTTCAAATACAAGAAACCCTGTCAACTGTGGGGAAATTCTTCATCGATTGAGTCAAATAATAAACAGTCCAATTCTTCAGATTCTCTGACACCTGACCTTAACAAGTGGGAAACTGAGTTGCAAGATAGCTCCTCTTCGACCGAGTCATCTCCAAGTTTTCTAAATTCGCATAAAGTTGCATCTCATAATTCAAGTTTGCCAAATGGAAAAACTACTTGTAATCGCCTCTCTCAAATCAGTAACCTAAGTTCAAGTGTACAAAATCCTCATGTTTCTGATGTTACACTACCGAACGCGAGCATTCTAGATTCAAAACACAATAGCGTAAGTTTTTTTAACTGAAGGAGTACTACGTCATAGATTGAAATATAAAATTTTGTCTTCGAAAATGCTACTTTCCAACAACTGCACTTAAATGTCTACACGAAGTAAATTCGTCCAAGTCAGAGCTAAAGTTAATCTGGATTAGTGGTCTAAGTTCACTAATTATTTGTAGAAAGAGAGATTTTCTCCACCATATGGGCCTTTTTATTCGCCGATTTTGTTCGAGGATTGGATATCTGCCTTTTCACATTTCTAGAAAAACATGAAAATGGTGAATTTGACAGGATGTGCAACCCGCAGTCATATAAATGTATTCTGATGAATCATAATTTCTATCATCGCATTAGTAGTAAACAATAAGATTAACTGTTTGATATTCTTTGACATATTGATAATGTGATTGGTATATATACACTAATTCTATTGAAACTGGCGAATGAAGGACATTCACTGAATTAAAAAAGTGAATCAGTTATCTGACTATAGGTTTAGTAGAAAATTCTTTTCCATAGAAGAATTTAATAATAGTAATGCTGTCTATATAAAAAAGCATTTAATTGAAGCATACTTTATGACAAATGTTTTATATTATATGAAAAAGTAGCAAAATTTAAGAAAATCAATTGTGTGCAACAAAATTAGTTATTCGGTATATTGATGATACATATTTCATGAATGAAAAGCGAATGTCCGGCGCTTTAACCAGATTCCGAACCAATGGTGCACATGGGCTCCAGTATCCTGCGGGGACAAATGGCGTATGAACCAATCGTTGGTCACTGACTACCATGGAACTGCATCATCTCAAGATGATACAGTGCCTTGTGGATCAGACCTGAAGGTCAAAGGCTCAGGGTGTGGCCCCCTAAGATAACCACCTGCTTCGGTCTGGGCACCCGGGCAGTATCACAGCCCTCACACAAATCGAATGATTTATTTGGAGCATATCTATTTGGTGCCTACTTGTAGCAGTGTTTATGTGTTTAAATAAATAAATGAATATTGATGATACATATTTCATAAATCTGTTAGTGAAAATTTATGTTTGAAACTAAAACTCAATTTTATTATGATAATGAAGTTTTATCATTCCGTTGAACATTTTTAACGTAGTTTTATTATAGACAATAGCTACATTCAATTTTGAGCTACAACAGTTCAACACAACAATGTAAGCTTCATATAATTTAATTGTTAAAATGTAATGTAATTATTCACTGTAACCAACAAATTTCAATAAAATTTAAAAGTGAAAACTTACACTTTTTTATTGAATCAACATAGTCAGTCTCATGGTATCCAATAGCATAGATTTTGTTCATCTACTTAATTGTTGTTGTTGTTGTTATTGTTTTTTTACTGTATACAAGTAGGCATTAATAATTTAATGATAAATGTACTATTTTAACATTTATTTATTTATTTATTTGACAGATCTCAAAACTATCAAATAACAATCTTAACAGTAAACAACACTCTTCACATTCAAAGATATCTGGCAAAAATCGTTTACCATCTGTACAATCTTCAACTTTGGATTCTTTTTTTCAGAAATGGAAATTTAAATAAACCTACCAATCTTTAAATATTTTTTTTCTTGTGTATATATATAAGAGTATATACATATCGATATAATTCCTGCTTTCGTTCCTAGATCTATTGGTATATATATATTTTTTTTGGTAATTAAATTTCTTTCCTTCCGATTGGTCTAATTACGTTAAAGTTTTTGACCTTGTCTTTGTTTCTTATTACTTGTAATTTCGATCCGGAATTTTCACCTCAGCTTCTGATTTATGTAGATATTAGAAGGGTTGTTTAAAATATAAATAGCGGTTGTTTTGTAAACAAAATGATTATAAGAGTATTCAATAAAATAAAAAAAAATAGTAGTTATTAGTATTACGCAAATATAGTGTTTCTTCTAGCTATATCCTTCCAGCGATTGATCATTATCTGTGTTTGGATTATTTAATTATAGTTCCATTGGGTAAATTAATATACCTATCCAGACTGTTAATATTTCGTCAGGCATTGTTCAAATGACAGATGTGCTTGTTCTAGTCATCGTCATTCTTGGTTTAGTTGACGGATTTTATAAACATTGGTTAAGCTTAGAATGTGCTTTATTTTCGAAAATAACAAGTGCTTGAACTGTATTGGGGACCATGTAACCGTGCCGGTTATCATGGGAGCGGTTGTGTTCTCTAGTCCGATTATCGGCTTATTCACCTACACTGCCTCAGACCAGTAATCTATTTTGCCAAGGATACAGTGATTACTAAACAACTACCCCGAGATCCTAACGCCTATTAGTCCTCGATATCTGATTCAGCGTCTAATCAAAAGACGAAGATAGCAAGCATATTTATTCTCTTTTGACTCGAAATTCATGCAATAATAATTTCTCAAACAACAGACTGCGTAACTAACAAATTAAGAATTAAATTGTATGGTCAACTTAGTTATCCGTAATACAAAACAGAGAAATGGGGAAATCGTAGATAGGTCTGGACTGACACGTATTACAACAGTTTACGAGGCAAACGAAAGTTTATAAATAGGTGGATATAAAAATATAGAAATCCAAGCTCATAGTAATTACATGATAAAAAGATAAACTATGGCTCACTTTAAATTCACATGACATTGTTTGCTCGAATCTTTCAATTGATGTTTAGGACTGAAATTGATCAGTCTCTTATTGGCATATGTGCATACTGTGTGTATTGCTTCGATATAGCCTGAATCCACAAGCATTATAAATAAAGATGAATAGTGGTTAGCAGTGGGATCCAGGACGTGCGTCCCGCCCTATTTGCATATAATGCTTGTGAATTAAGGCTATATCGAGGCATTACGCACAGTATGCACATATGCCAATTTCAGTCCTAAAAATCAATGGGAAGATTCAAAGAAACAATACCAAGTGGATTTAAACTTCACCCCATTGCAAAAGCAAGTGGCTATCAGGACTCAGTAGCTAAGTGGATAGCGCGTTGACGTTTGAAATGAATGGTACTGAGTCCGAGTCCCAGGGTAAATATAAACTTTGAGGTACAGGTACATCCAGCTGACGAGTCGCAAATAGGACGGAAAGCGCGTTTTGCATTCCACTGCTAGCCACTGTCCATCTTTGCATATGACTCGCTTTAGTTTTGAAATCATTCAGCCTAGTCTTTAATTGGTTCTCAGCTTTCATTGTTCAAGCCAACTTAATTTACACCAAGCGTCGTAAATTATAACGCTAAAAAGTTATAATGAACTGCCTAAATTATCATGGTTGTGCATGTCTTAGTATTATTTTTGTAAATTGATGTCTTGGAAATATCTTTCAACCCATAGAATTTTGTTGCAAATTAGTTAATATGAAATTTTAAACATATCAATATGGTTGACATTGTTCTTAATAACGGTCGATTTCATCTGATAATCTCCGTCTTCTTATTACTCTATCGGAATTCATCAGATGGACTGAATGCTTTAGATGTCATTTTTATTTTCGTATTCTACAATATTTTATTTATTTATGTGAACACATGAATATTGGTACAAGAGAGCGCCAATATATATGCGCCACACAAAACAATGAGAATTCGAAGAGAAGTAGAAAAAAAAACTAAGGAGCGCAAAAGAAAAGAGAACAATGACGAAGAGATTGGAGTAAGGTAGTGTGGTAGTAACGACGGAACGAAAAGGTACAATCAGAAGAAATCTTTCAGGTAAAGGAGACACAACCACTTTTTATGAAGAAAGTAAAAGAAGGTTACAGCAGGATCGCCACTGGCTTCTATTCTGAGCCATATCTGATAACGTCTCTAGCCACTGTGTAGCACCATCTCTAGGATCCCAACCAGGGAGTCGTGTAGGAAGAACAGAAACCAGTCCTGTACAGCTATCTTTCATACCGCAACACCATGTCATACACTGACCACCTCTCCGCTTTTTCCAACCAATCCCAGCGTCGGCAAATAATGCACGACGTGGAATTCTTTGGGACGACATTCGTAGAACACGTCCAAGCCACCGAAGTCGGTGTTTCAAGATGGTGACACCAATTGAATTATCATCTCTGTGCCCGAACACACGATGCCGAACCTCTGCATTACTGACATGGTGTTGCCACTGAATGTCAGCAATCCTTCGGAGACAGCGATGATCGAACACAGAGTCGTCTAACATCCTCAACTCGGAGAGGCCAGGTTTCACAAGCATAGAGCGAAACTACTCTCACCGACGCGTTGTAGATCCGGCCTTTTACAGCCAGACTAACATCACGAAGGCGCCAAAGGTGGCCCAGATTGGCATAAGCCGCTCTGGCTTTCACTATACGTGCATTGATCTCATCACTCACACCCCCACCAGCACTTATGCAGCTACCCAGATACACGAACTTCTCGACTACGTCTATCTGCTCACCATCCAGGGTGAGTACAGGATTAGAATCCTGCCAGTCTTGTAGAAGTACTTTGCACTTCGAAGGTGCAAAGCATATACCATACCTACGGACACTGATTGCCAACTGATTAAGTGCGGATTGCATGCCTTGGGCATTATCGCACAGTAAGACAATATCGTCCGCATACTCAAGGTTAAGAAGTCTTTCTCCGGGCAACAGATCCACACCACCATTACTTACATTCATCAGAGCTGTTTCCAGAATGTCGTCGATGGCAAAGTTGAAGAGGAATGGTGAGATTGGGCAACCCTGCCTAACCCCACTGCTCGAATGGAACAATGGAGAGAGGTGGTTGTATGTCCTCACTCTGCCTGAGGTGTTTGTATATAGGGCTTTTAGGATGTTAATAAACTTCTCAGGCACACCCTTCTTCAATAGACAATCCCAGAGAACAGTCCTATCCAACGAATCGAAGGCAGCCCTGATGTCAAGAAACACTACGATTGTTGGCCTTTGAAAAGTATGGCGGTGTTCTAACATTTGGCGGAAGGTGAAGATCTGATCAATACATCCTCGACCAGAACGAAACCCAGCCTGCTCCTCGCGAGTCAATCTTTCTCGGGTTTTGAACAACCTACGAAGAATGACGGAAGCCAATAGCTTGGACGCAATCGGAAGTAGACTTATCCCCCGATAGTTGTTGCAGGAACGACGTGAACCGTTTTTAAAGATAGGGACAACTATCGACTCATTCCATGACGTTGGTACACTCTCTAGTTCCCAAACCTTTGTAAACAACGTCGTCAATTCCTTAGTCAGAAAGTCACCACCATCTTTAAAAAGAGCCGGAGGTAAGTCATCTGGGCCAGGTGATTTGTAACGCTTCAAGAGTTGGAGTTCCTTGCGGACTTCCTCCTCATTTGGTGGATCAGTCGTCACCTGCCATGGAGGGCAGGACAGTTTGACCGATGTTGCCGGAGCAGCAGGCCAGTTGAACTGCCCTTCGAAAAATTCTGCCCATCGTCCAAGACGTCGATGGATGTTAGTGATTGGCATCCCATCATCCTCGCAGATTGTTTCACTCACACCAGACTTCTTGCTGCCAGTGGCTCGGATGAGCTGGAAGAGCTTCCGGTAGTTACCAGATGCAGCTGCTGCTTCCAGCTCATTAGCACGCTCCGACCACCAGGCTTCTCGGTCCTTACGCAAGCTTTGCCCAATTTCCTTACGTAACATCCTTCGTTTATGGTCAAACTCACGGTCACCCGGAGTAGACCGACGGGCTTCAATGAGTTGTAAGGAACCTGAAGAAACCCAGTGCTTATAAGCGGGACGTTCCGCGAACCCACAACTGACTGTACTCGCCATTTTCATGGCGTCATGCAATTGCAACCAATGCTCATCTATACTTTTCGGTGGAATGATAGCTAGCCTAGAGGCTAGCTCGGTCCGATACTTACTAGCAACAGAAGTTGCAACCAGCTTGCTAACATCAATCCGTTGGTGACGATCACTTCGTTAGCCACTGAAAAGTAAGGCAAGATTGGCGCAGACCAAGGCATGGTCAGAGTCCAGATAGGTACTCCAAAAGGAGCGGCAGTCTTGTACACAACCACGCCAGCGGTAGCTGATCGCGATGTGATCAATCTGAGTCCAGGCTTGAGATGCAGAGGGAGGACGCCAGGTGGCACATCGGCGATGACTGTGCCAAAAGTTAGTGCTAGCCAGAAACAGGTTGTGGTTTGTGCAGAGTTGCAGTAGACGGTCCCCGTTATCTGACCTGCGATCAACGAGTCCCCATCGGCCACCTAAACGACTCTCTTCTGTGCCTAGATGCCCGACCTGAGCATTCAAGTCTCCGGCTAGTACTACAATATCTGTCGAACGCACTTTCTGGAGAAGAACAGATAACTGGTGCTAAAACTCATCCTTGATTGCATCCGGGCTGCAATCTGTCGGGGCATAGGCGGAGATGACGAAAAGACATCGTTTCTCACGCCGATTTCTTGTCACTTTGATGGAACTTTCTAATCTAACAGCACATAACCGACTGTTAATGGGGATCCAATCGACTAGTGCTGCCTCAGCTCTAGCGCTTAGTGCGACACCAACGCCAGCAAGACCAGACGAAGATGCCACAGGGTCCCCGGATAAGCGCACGTAAAACAAG